CCTCTTCAATTCTTCCATTTGCTTTAGCATCTCTACGCTGGAGAGCAATTTTCAGAGTCTCTTCTGACATCCATTTTGACCTTTTCCTTCTTTCTTGTCTTAATGACTTTTTGCTCTCTTCACATATGCCTTTTTTGTCTGAGGAACCTCTGGGTGAGTTTGAACCTCCAATTTTTCAGTTAGTAGCCAATTGCTTAATCATATGGACTACCCAGGGACTAAGATGAGAACTTTGTGTTTCTTGTTGCTGTTGTTGGTAAGTGCCGTAGAGTTAGTTCTGACTCAGTGACCTTGTGTAGGGTTTCTGAAGAGTGCTGGTGGGTTTTGAACTGTCAGCTTTTTGGTTCCCAGTCCAGTGCTGATCCTACAGTGCCACACGAGGCGTCCAAAGATTTGCATTTTAAATCTTATGTTGTTTTTAACTGCCTTGTGGTTCAAACCTACTTTGGAGCCCACTGCTTATCCTACAACACACTAAGACTCAACAATTATTATAGTTTTTAATTGACAGAATGTCAACAACAATATAGATTGACATGTAAAACCAGAAGAAGGTGAAGCATTTGCTAGATGGAGTCAGGGATTAGCCTAGTGATCAGCTGATTTGTTAGAACTATTTAGAGTGAAGCATTCTTAGATATCACAAAGGGGAAGCTTTATATGAACAAATCATATATGAAGAAACTTCAAAAAGGATTTCAAACAAATTTTAAAAAATAAAGAAAAAGAAATAAAGTAAAGATAGGTAGTTTTAGAGCAATTTAAAGACTAGTACATACCTCTGGAACTGAAGTTTCTATAAGAGACAGTGGAGGAGGAACACATCCACCATCTTGTGCAATTTCCACTGGCTGATAAATAACATCAGAAGGTTGCAGGTATAAGAGTGGAGCAGAAGAAGCAGGTGACTGAAACACAAAACCATACTTTAATTCAAATATTATCAGTTATTTCTAGTAAACCAAATGACTTGACTTACAGATAAGAGATATATTTATTTCATACATTTTTAAAAGTTCATTTCTCTGGGATAGTTTAAGACTATCCAACAACAGAGTAGGAACTCAGTTGGAACAAATTCTAATTTATAACAGATGTCATTAAAGAACTTAATCATTGGCAATTTTTTAAAGCTCCTAGTCCCTTAGAACTTCAAATGAAAATATAAAAAATAATTTCAGAAATTTAACCCTTAAAAGGTGTAAAATGATAAGAATTTCTGAGTCTTAATTTTGATATATCATGGAAGTGAGAAAATATCATAAAGCAATAATTTATGGTGATATATTAGTAGTTATAAAAAGTTGCGAAATGGAATAGGAATATAAGTCAAACTTAAAGTAAAATCTAAAATGAAGCTAGAGAAGGCTAGTAAAAGTACTAATAGTTCAAAAAAGTTTTTCATGCTTCTATGTACTCAATCATTTATAAAATGCTTTGATTTACGTTTTGATATGATTTCATTTGCTCTTCATAAAAATGATGCCAATTATTCTTACATAGGCATGTGGAAACTGAGAAATAAAAAGATTAAATTAATTCCTAAGGAATTACAGTTAAATAGGAGGGGAACATTTCAAATCTAGTTTTCTTGACTTTAATATTCATGTAATCTTTACAAAACACAATAAAAAAGGGTATTTTAAATAAGATACTGAAAGTTACTATTTACCTGAGGAATACCCCACTGCCACTGTCCTGGTAGACATTGTGTAGGAGCCTAAAGTGAAATAAACAAAAGCATATCAAGATTTAAAATGAAGGTCAAAACTGGATACTCACATGCAAAAACATGAAGCTGGATCCCTATAGTTTAAATCATATACAAAAATTAACTCAAAAAGAATCAAAGACCTAAATACAAGAGATAAAACTATGAAGCACATGGCATCAGGATTGGAGGAAGAGTCATTGACAACCTGCAATATGCAGATGACACAACCTTGCTTGCTGATAGTGAAGAGGACTTGAAGCACTTACTGATGAATATCAAAGACTACAACTTTCAGTATGAATTATACCTTAATGTGAAAAAAACAAATAAAACCAGAAAACCTTACCACTGGACCAATAAATAATATCATAACAAACAGAGAAAAGATTGAAGTTGTCTAAGATTTTATTTTACTGGATTCAAACCAACATTTACATGGAAATGGTAGTCAAGAAATCAAAAGACATATTTCATTACACAAATCTACTGCAAAACACCTCTTTAAAGTGTTAAAAAGCAGAGATAACATTTAGAGGATTAAGTCAGCCAGACCTAAGCCATAACATTTTCATTTGCTTCATATACATGTGAAAGCTGAACAATGAATAAGGAAGACCTGAGAAAAACCGATGTGCCTGAGCTATGGTGTTGATGAAGAATACTGAAAGTACCATGGACTGCCAGAAAAACAAAACAAATCTGTTTTGGAAGAATGTCCCTTAGAAGCGAGGATAAGACTTCATTTCACATACTTTGTACATGTTATCAGGAGGGAGTCCTGGTGTGGCGCTTGGGTTAATGCACTGGATTGTGAAGTTGGTCTGAACCTCAAGGTCAGCAGTTCAAGCTCACCAGCTGCTCCTTGAAAACCCTATACAGGGTCACTATAGGTCAAAACCCTATACAGGGTCACTATAGGTCAAACTGACTCGACAACAACAACAATCAAGAGGGACCAGTCCCTAGAGAAGGACATCATGCTTGGTAAAGTCAAGAGTCAATGGAAGAAGACAAAGACTCTTAGTAAGATGAACTGTCGGACACACTGACTGCAACAATGGGCTGAAGCATAACAACTGTGGGGATAGTGCAGTATTTCATTCTGTGTGCACAGTGTCATTATAAGTTCAAACCGACTTGATGACAAGCTAACCACAACTAAACTATAAAGCTCTTAGAAGAAAATATAGGCATAAATCATTGTGAAGTTTGATTAGGCAATACTTTTAAAGTATGAACCCCTAACTGTAAGAACAAAAGAAAAAAAAGATAAATTGGACTTTTATCAAAATTAAAATCATGTGCTACTAAGGGCACCATTAAGGAAGTGAAAACCTACAGAATGAGATAAATTATTTGCAAATCATTTATCTGATAAGGGATTTATATCTGAATATACATAGAACTCATAACTTAATAATAAAAAGACAAATAATAAAATAAAAAAATGGGCAAAGGATCTAAATAAGTATTTCTTCAAAAAAGATACACAAATGGCCAACAAGCATGTGAAAAATTAGTAAACATCAGGAGATGCACAAGAACACCTAGACTTGCAGATAGTACCCACTGACCTAGCTTCAATGGTTTGATAATCAGAACTCAACTAGAGGAAGAGAAAAAAAAAATTTTTTTTTTGATAAAGGAAACAAGGGTAAATTGATACAATTTGACGAACTTGACCTATACTCATGGATGTAGTAGCTCAAAATACCAAGAGAGAGGGAAGGAATCTTTACATCAAGTATCAATGCTATCCTCTGTGTATACAGGGTAGATAGGGACAGGAAACTTAGACATTGACTACCTAAAATGAGGGGGCGATAAAGGCACAAAGTGTCTGGCTTACAAGTTTTCAAGAGGGAGTATAGTTTCAGAGCATGCAGGAGAAAGTAGAATCCCCACTAAATAGTTTTCATCTGTCTAGATGGGTCTGGTGAAAAGAGATGAGAATAAGATTCTTATGATTCAATATTGACTAATTGTTATCATGACTAATTGCGACTGCCACTACTGTAAAGGTAGAAGTTTTGTAACAAAAATGGGGGAGAAGTTAATTTTACAATCCAGAAACAGAAGACCCTAGGACTATCAAGGGAGAAGCACACAAGCAGAATGTAGGACCCTCTCCAGAGAAGCAGCAACACCAGAGATGGAGGCAGAGATGAGGACCTGGAGAAAGGGAGCAGCTGAGGACTCTAAACTCATGGAAAGAGAGGGACTGAGCTCTGGTGGCCAGGAGGCAGGCTTGCAGAATGTGCCCTTTAGTTGTTTAAATTATTATATACTCATATATTCCTGAGTGTTTTTGTGTACATCTAACCCCGCCAAAAAAGAAAAACAGAAAATGGAAACAAATACTGTTGAATGATGATGCAAGGAGGAGACTGTAATCATTTCAATGAAATGATGGTGTAAAACCGATGTTCTCCCATGTAAACTATCACTCAGTTCACAATTAAAAATAAATAAAGAAAGAAAGAAAGAAAGAAAACAAAAATTAATATGCTGAAATTGAAATACAATGACAAAATAGAAGTATGAACTTTCTCTTTATTTTATTTGCAATAAAAAATTTTAAAACACACACACACCAAGTTAGTAAACATCATTAGCCAGCAAAGAAATGCAAATCAAAATCTCTAATGAGATACTACTTAACATCCACTGTTGTGTGCTGTGGAGTTGGCTCTGATTCATTGCAACTTTGTACATGGTTTCTGAGAACAGCTGGTGGGTTTAAACTACTGACCTTGTCTTTACCAGTTTAATCCTTGTACTACATACAACACCACACTAGGGCTCTCATACCTACTAGAATGTCTGTCATCAAAAAGATCACTAACAACAAGATACTAACAAGTGTTTGCTGAGATGTGGAGACATTAGAGCACTGCTGGGTGGATTGTGAAAAAGTATATAGCTGCTTTCCTTAACAGTCTGATATTTCCTCAAAAGATTATCATCCAGTTACCATTGTTGTTGCTATTGTTTTTAAGTGCCTTTGAGTTGGTTCTGACCCATAGCGACCCTGTATAGTGTTTCCAAGAAGTAGCTGGTGAATTTGAACCGCCGACTGTACGGTTTAAATTGACCTTGTGGACTAGTGCTTTATACCACAGCGTTAAACCAGGACTCTGTATGATCTCATAATTCTACTCTTAAGTATATACCCAAGAGGAATGAAAGCATATGTCCACATAAAAACTTGCACACTAATGTTCATAGCAGCATTATAACAAATATGGTTATAACGATAATAACAAACACTGAAAAGTACCCAAATTTTCATCAACTGATGAATAATACAGTTGTATATCCTAACAATAGACCATAAAAAGTAGTGAAATACTGATGCATGAACCTTGAAAATATTATGTAAAGCGAAAGAAGTCAGTCCCATAAGACCATATATTGTATGATTCTAATTATATGAAATGTCTAGGATAGGCAAATTTACAAACATAGAAAATAGCTGTATAGTGATGGAGGTGGGAGGAAAAGAGTACATTGAGTAATGAAATGGATAAGGGTTTTTTGTGGTGAGAGGTGATGAAAACTTTCTAAAATTATTTATAGTATTGGCTACACAACTCTGTGAATTTATGCCCTTTAGATGGGTGAATTATATTTCAATATAGTTGTGGCGCTGTGGGTTAATGCGCTGGACTGCAAAGTCAGGGTTTCAAGCTCACCAGCTGCTCCTCGGAAACCCTGTACAAGGTCGCTATGGGTCAGAACAGACTTGACAGCATATAACAACATTATCTATAAGATTATAATGAGAGATGGTGTGGTGGTTTAAATAAACACTGGACTGCTAACTACAAGGTCAGCAGTTCAAACCCACCAGCCACTTCTCAGAAGAAAGATGGGGCTTTCTGTTCCTATAAAGATTTACAGCCTCAGAAATCCTATACAGGGTAACTATGAGATAGAATCAATCTAAGGCACTTAACAGTAACAACATAAGATGATAATATAAAACATAAGGCTTTCAATTTATTAAATTAGCATATTATTTATTAACAATTAAAGTTTTAATTTTAAATAAAGCATATTTGCATTATTAAAATCAGAAATCAGATAAAAGGAATAAGAACATCTTATGGATCTACCTTCTAAACCAAATCATAGTTGATTTAGTGCTAACTGCTTCAATGGCTAACTGGTATCATTGCATTATAATGGCCACCATGAGAATGTGAAGTATGTTGCAGCTGTTAAGTGCCATTGAGTTGATTCTGACTCATATCAACCCTGTATAGGGTTTCCAAGGAGCAGTTGGTGAGCTTGAACTGCTGACCTTGCAGTTCAAACCACCCTTTTGGTCCAGTGGCACACCAGGACTCATGAACTGCATAACATATCTTAAGAAATTATTTTAATAAAAAACTTCACATGAAAAAGTTTATATGGATTTGTTAGATAAATAAAATCACTGTCTATTTATGAAGAAATATATACGTTAAATACTAATTAAGCCATTTATTACCAATTTTGACTAATATAAACTGATATAACTATCAATCTTAAAATTTATAAAAAAGAAAGCAAAGAAGGATTCTTATCAAATGTCATTTTAAGGGCAGAATGATGGTAATATATAACTGGAAAATATGAGAAGTGAAATTATTTTTTATATTGCAAAATATTGATATATTGATCTTATTTGAATAGGTACAAGTCTCTCCTCATTATATCTAGGCAATACACAACCAGTTTTGAAATTTGGGCCGAGCAGCAAACCAAAACTGATGTATAAAATTAAACTTAGTAGAATACATATGATTTGTCAAGAGTACTATATAACTATATGTTTACTATCAATTACTGAAGGATCTGGACTCAACAGGGTACAGAGAGAAGGTAACTATATTCTGTTGAGCTGCTCCTCTTTGCTACTAAATAAGAACTAGTACAGATGGCTTTTTGTGAGTGTGGCAGATTCCAAATACTGACTCTAGTCACCAAAAACAACCCCAAGCCCATTGCCACAGAACCTATTCCAATTCATAGTGGCCTTATAAGACAGAGTAGAACGGGCTCCATAGAATTTCCAAGGCTGTGAATCTTTAAGGGAGTAGACAACCTCATCTTTCTCCTGTGGAATGACTGGTGGGTTTAAATACTTAACCCACTGCACAATCAGGACTCCTTAACTTTCTTGTTGTTGTTGTTGTTGTTGAGTGCCTTCGAGTCGATTCTGACCCATAGTGACCCTGTATAGGGTTTCCAAGGAGCAGCTGGTGAGCTTGAACTGCTAACCTTGCAGT